CCGGGAGCGGCCACTGCATTCCAGTCTGGGCGACAGAGTGAGAATCCAACTCAAAAAAAAATAAGAATTAGGCAAAAGGGAGCCTGAAGGGCCTTCTAGGCAGAAATTGCATGGAGAAAGATCCTGAGGTAGAGGAAAATGAGACCAAACTTGTAGGCAGAGTCAGATTTGCAGTGAAGCTAATGAAACAAGTTTCAGGACCGGCCGGGCTCGGTGGTTCAGTTTGTAATCCCAGCACTTTGGGAGGTCTAGGCGAGTGGATTGCCGCGAGTGGATCCCGCGGGTTCGAGACCAGCCCAGTCAACATGGCAACATCTAGTCTTCTACAATAAATCAAAAATTAGCCGGGTCTGGTTGCCCGTGCCTGTAGTTCTGGCTACTTGGAAGGCTGAGGCGGAAGGATCGCCGGAGCCCAGCGGGATGACGCTGGGGTGGCCGTGAGCGTGCCACTGCACTGCAGCCTGGGTGACAGAGTGAGACTCCAGCTCAAAAAAAAGTTTCAGGATCTATTATATTATTTGCATGGCCCCATTCAATGCCCTGTACCTAATTTTGTACTTTTCTTTTTTTTCTTTTTTTTTTTTGAGTTGGAGTCTCTGTTGCCCAGGCTGGAGTACAGTGACTCACTCACGGCCACCCCAGAGTCAACCTGCTGGGCTCAGATGATCCTTCCACCTCAGCCTTCCAAATAGCCGGAACTACAGGCTCATGCTACCATGCCCGGCTAATTTTTTTTTTTATTTTTTGTAGAGATGAAGTCTTGCCAAGTTGCCCCAGCTGGTCTCGAAACTGGACTCAGGCAATCCTCTCACCTCAGCCTCCCAAAGTGCTGAGATTACAGGCTTGAGCCACCGTGCCAAGCAGGTTCCACTTCTGATTAAGAGAGTTACAGGACTGATTGGCCCTATCTAAAATGGCATAGGCCTGGTGCAGTACCATGAGCTTGTAGTGCCAGCTACTTGGGAGGCTAAGGCAGGAGGATGACTTGAGCCCAGGAGTTCTAGTTCAGCTTGGAAAACACAGCAAGACCCTCATCTCTAAACAATAATAATAATAATAATATCATAGTGTATACTACACCACCAATTAATAGCTGTTCTCTAACTCTGCTTTTATTCTTATAACTTATAACCACCTGATATATATTAGCATATGGTCTGCTAAATTTATAATTTTCTTTTTTCTTTTTTTTTTTTTTGAGTTGGAGTCTCACTGTGTCACCCAAGCTGGAGTGCAGTGGCACGCTCACAGTCACTGCAGCCTCGACCTGCTTGGCTCAGGTGATCCTTCGACCTCAGCCTTCCAAGTAGCTGGAACTACAGGCACCAACCACCACGCCAAGCTAATTTTTTTTTTAATTTATTGTAGAGATGAGGTCTCACCAAGTTGCCCAGGCTGGTCTGGAACTCATGGGCTCAGACAATCCTCTCCCCCCAGCCTTCTTTCTACAATAAATCAAAAATTAGCCGGGCGTGGTAGCGCGCGCCTGTAGTTCCAGCTAC